GTTAATATATGGTTACTGCTTAGTTGGAAGGATGGATGAAGCCAAGAAGGTAATTGATGGTATGGTCTCAACTGGCATGTCACCTAATGAAGTTACTTATAATACTTTGCTTAATGGCTACTGTAAAGCTGACAGGATAGACGATGCATATAGTGTTTTCCGAGAAATGTTGAGCAACGGCATTACAACAGGAGTTGTGACTTACAAAGACTATACTACATGGTCTGTTTCTAAATGGAAGATTTTCAAAGCAAAGGAACTCTATCTCAATATGATGAAAAGTGGAAAAGAGTGGGACATTCACACATACAGCATAATTCTAAATGGTCTTTGCAAAAGTAATTGTGTTGATGAAGCATTCAAAATGTTTCAGAGCCTGTGTTCTAAGGATCTTCAACTTGACATTATTACTTTCAACATTATGATTGGTGCTTTGCTCAAAGGTGGCAGAAAGGAAGATGCCATGGATTTGTTCGCTGCTATCCCTGCTAATGGTTTGGTTCCAGATGTTGTGACCTACCGCTTAGTTGTAGAAAATCTCATAGAAGAAGGGTCACTAGAGGAGTTTGATAGTCTATTTTCGGCGATGGAAAACAGTGGCTGTGTTCCAAACTCACAAATGCTAAATTCTTTAGTTAGGAGGTTGTTGCATAGAGGTGACATAAGCAGGGCTGGGGCTTACCTCTACAAACTTGATGAGAAGAATTTCTCACTTGAGGCTTCCACTACTTCTGTGCTTATATCACTTTTCTCGAGGGAGGAATATCAGCACCAAGCAAAGTCCCTGCCTGAAAGGTACCGCTTCGTCAATGGTGCCAACAAATGAGTGTTGACAAGAAAAATGAATTCACTTTTCCACTGCACTGATCATCTTTATGTGACAATCTAAATTTTTTAGAGTGACTATTCTGTCTTGTGCTCTAATTTTTGGTCATGCTCTGTATTCTTTGAATGATGAAATTCTCTAGGGAAATGCTCTCTTGTTAGTGCACTTCAGCATCAAGTTTATCAACAGGTAAAGTAATCCTGTGGACAATCCTAGTTAGCCTTACAGCAGGAATCTGTTTACAAATTAATGAGTAACGCTGTACTCTACCTTTTATTGCATCATTTGTTAATAAACCCTGCACTCCCAGCCATAAATAAATCATGTGTACCTCTTGATCATTGATCCGATGCCTATAATTTAAGCTTGTGTATCTTCCCCCACTGTTAGCGGTGGAAAATGCTGCTTATGTTTCCTCACACAATTTATGTTGACAGCAACAGTTCTATATTGCTTTATTGTTCTGATTGGTTACCTATAAGAGGCTCCCCTAGTATTTCCACTGACAGTACCTGCCCTGCTTTATTGTTGATAATGAATGCAACTGTGCATAAGGCAGATCTTTGCAGTTCTTTGGAAATGAGGTTAGAATTTTTTCCCTACCCTCTGCAATCTGGTCACCTTTGCAGTATCATTCTCCTAAGGAAGCCTACAAATAAGCATTATGTTAAATGACTTGTATCCTCAACTGTACCCATACATCTTCATGTGACATGTAATATCTGTCTCCTGCACTACTTTACTGACCATGTAGTTAAGAGGCCTCTTTCAGATGCTTGCTTATCCACACCATCCAGTAAGTTACCAAAACTCTTTTGGTTTACTAATTTACAATTGTATATGTATGCAACACATACAGGCAGTTTGGATTTGCACACTTGCAAAACACATGAACCCCTAACATTGGGGATGCAGCAGGGGGCTCTACATATTTCTAGCACACACCCATTGCTACTCCTTCTATTCTTGTGAGTAGCATTTTTTTTTCAGTCATCTATGGTAACAAGATGTCCTGTCGAAGTTTGATGCTTTTCGGAAAGTAGCATGAGGCTGCTCGGGTCTATGTTGACATAGCATTATTACTGTATCCTAGTGTTCTTGCTTTCATCAGGCTGAATCTTTAAAAATGTAAAATGCTGCATGTTAAACAGTTTGAACTAAGATGCACTTCAGTAGTCCAATTGTAACAAACCGAATACATGGTCTGGTACTAGTAGCATGGTTAATCACAATACATGGTCTGTAATTCAAAAATCAACACATGGTCTGGTACTGGTAGTTTGGTTAATCAGCAACATATTTCCAATTTTAACCGAATTCTCCGCAGGTTTGTTCCTCCGATGCTGTTTTGATGCTGAATTCTGAAACAGCATGGACACTGAGCTCCTCCCATGCCACTGTGGCAAAAAGTTGGGAGTTGGGGCCAATCCAAACTGGAGCTCATTTGTCTGATGTTGGGAGTTGCTGCCCTCAGCTGAAGCAGGCGAATACCACCAGCTCCTGAGCTGCTCCATCTAGAAAAGAGGCAGCGGAAGCCTCCTCTGGTTCTCACTGGCTTCATATTGAAGCTGGCCACCGGCAACAGGAAGGGAGGTCCCGGGTCAGAGCTCACAAGTCAACCGTTGGGTCGCCTCACCTGGGTCACCTCTCAATCTGGTGGCAAAATTTGGATCCAAGGACTACGAGTACCCGGTCACAGCATGGACTCTGGTCAATACTTTGTTTCTCAGAGAACTCCCTAATCCAATATTTTGTAGAAGCCTCCTCGTGATTAACATTTATTTCATTTTGCGACCAATATTTGCAGGAAAAAAAAACCCTTTAACTTACTGCTCCTGTCTTGTCTACACAAGTGAAGTTCCATTGATCCAGAAAGATTGTCTGGTTTGCTTTAACATCTGTTCACAAATTATAATAATATAAGACCTGTAACTGAATGACTTTCAGGTTGCCAAAATTCATTGTCCTTCCAGTAGAGGCTTGCTTTTTCCTCTCTGCCTTATGAGATTCAGTAGTTGAAAGTGGATTACATTGTGGCACAAGGCTGTTTAATTTGTTCTAATCTAAAAAAAATTGAATTGTCAAAGTCACGCCACTGGTTGGTTTAGGAAGAGAAATTTCGATATTTGAAGGACAGAAATTGATTCAGGTCTTAAGCTTGAATCATGGACGAGAGCTTCTTGGGTTTGGCACCATAACACCAAATAAATTATGGTCATTAAGCTTATTCTTTGATTAGTTTGCGTAGTCATTTTCAACTAGAGGCCATGCTTTGCTTTATGTGTTGCTTCCTCATATGTTAAATCTGTAGTAGTATTTTTATACAGGTTAAGTTTGATTCACCGTTCTTTCTATTTTGTGTGCATGAAGTATAAGATACTATATTCCTAAAAGTTGCTTCAGAACTGTGAAGGTTGCATGCTATGCTAAGGTCATTGGGATTAAGTAGCATAAATTGCATGCCCATTTCTTGTAAAGGATATGGTGATGCATTTGTTTTTTCTTCTTTGATATAATTTTCAAGACATACATGACTCAGGCAACCTGTAAAGTGCTGCATCAAGCCTCTGATTCTACAATTTACATGTACCTCAGATATTGTCAAGTTGATTGTTCCCCGGATTGAAAACAAAGGCTGTAGCACCCTCTTGGGACATTTATACCCTTCTTCGTGTCTGTCAAGGGCGTTGGCACCCAAGGTTGTTGGTCCCTGGCTCCTTAGTTCATAGCCAGGGGCCGGTAATGGTGCCAGGGCTGTTACCTAGTCGACCAGAGAAGAAGGGGGTGAGATTGAGAGAGAAGAGGTAGATTAGGAAAGTAATTGTTCTTGCTTCTTGATTCAAATGAGTCCTGGATACATATAGGAGTCGGCAGGCTCCTTGGTTCTAATTCCTGCATTAACTCTAACCTCTCAACTACTTCTTAATTGCTCAGACAACCAGCCACCTAAACCACCTCGGGCTCCTGTTGTTAGAAATCCCATTGCATTTCCTACTCTTTGTTTATTATTAATTTTCAGGCATAATTCATTCATGATACAAGCTCCAACATGATTGGAGTTACTAGCCCATTTGAAAACTGGCCTGTGCCTGCTATAACAAGATGTGCAAAATAAATGTCCACTGGAACGAGAAATGTGGCTGATATGGGAGAAGTAGAGATCAGCCCCATTGTTGTACTCTGATATCTTCTTCCTGCATATTCTTTTTTTAGTATTTGGAAGCTATGCTGATGCTTTGACAAGGCATGATATACAAGAGTGTCTGCTATTCAAGTAGCTTCTCTTATTTCACCTCTCTGATCTCTTAAGCTGTTGCAGAAACATTACGACCAAGACGAAATTGACTCGATAGTGTACTCAAACAAAACGGTGGCCAATGTTTAACTTCTCTTACAATCATGCAGGACATGGTAACACGACCGACGAGGGAACAAGGGTTATTGACAAGTTGGGCAAAGAAGAAGCCGTGAAGACGATGCATTCCCAGGAAAATCATCTCAAGGAGCTCCAAGCTACCATTACGGACTTAAAAGCTGAAATCACCGAGCTCAAGATTGCATTGGAATCAGCTCGTTCTCAAGGAAAGGTGTAGATGAGAGGGATCTTGTGTTCGAATCGGTTTGGTTGTTTAAGGAACTGTAGTTGTTAGTTGTCGATGGTGTCAGTAATTTACTAATGGGACATTTGGCCACAGGTCATTCGGAAAACATGAAATTGGCTGCTGCACACCGCCAACTCCGATATTGGCCGAGTACCATTATGAAATTGGATTCATTTGCTAGAACACACCGCCCCCATTAAAATATAATTTCTGCTGGTTCCGGGAGAGAGAAGCTATGAAAAATGACGTGTTTGCCCTCATCTTCTTCCTCTCGCTTCCTCAAGTCTGGCGACACCATTTCAAGAAGTCTGGTGAATGGCCGGCCGGCGAGCCTTGCCGTGCCTGCCCTCACCCACACCCCTGCGTCTCCCCATCCTTCGCGCCACCCCGCAGTCTCCACCGCTAAGGCCGACGTCGTCTGCGTGCTCTTCTGCACCTACGTACGGCTTCACCGATGACCTGCGCCAATCCGCCATTGTCGTCCGCATCCATGCCGGCCAGCAGCGCGAGGGCCTCCTCCCCCGTGGGGCGCAGGTCCAGCTACTGCACCAGCACCACCATCTCTAATTGTGTCAGGCTATCGTCGTCGTCCATGTCGAAGCGCCGAAAGATCTCGCGGAGCTGCTTCGGAGCCGGAGAAGAGGCGGCTGCCGCCGGTTCACTGGTGGTGGGAGTGGGACTGGTCGGCCGCCGCCGGTGCACTGGTGCCAGAAGGGCATACTTAGCGCGTTCCCTAGAGGAGTGGCCAGCCCAGGGGCGGAGCTCCCGGCGGTGCGGCCAGCCCAAGGGCAGTGCTCCCCGGCGGCGCGGCCATCCCAGGGGCAGTGCTCCCCGGCGGCGCGGCCAGCCGAAGGGCGGCACTCCCCGGCAGCGCAGCCATCCCAGGGGGCACGCCCTCCCCGGAGGCGCGGCCAGTCCAGGGGCGGAGCTCCCCGCCAGCACGGGCAACCCAGGGGCGAGCTCCGCTGCGCCATATCGGCACCATATGAGCGAGAGGAAGAAGATGAGGGCAAACACGTCATTTTCCATAGCTTCTCTCTCCCGGAACCAGCAGAAATTATATTTTAATGGGGGCGGTGTGTTCTAGCAAATGAATCCAATTTCATAATGGTACTCGGCCAATATCGGAGTTGGCGATGTGCAGCAGTCAATTTCATGTTTTCCGAATGTCCTGTGGCCAAATGTCCCTTTACTAATATACGCGTATCGCTAAAATAAAGATGGTTCACCCTGTCAAGGTTATTATGTATGATCTTTGTACTGACTAGGTAGGTGATGGTCCATGCGTTACAACGGTCATACAAATTGATTGTGGTCACTGGAGTTTGTGTGAACAGAGATGAGATCTGTATAGATCTTCAGTCGACATATTCAGTGTTCATTCGATTCAGTGACGATCTTTTCTACTGGAGATTTGTTTATTTTTAGCAACCTTAGTTTTGGTACAAGCGTGTAAGTATGTTGGTGTTGAGACTTGAGAAGAATAGCTTCCTTCGGCCTTTCTGCAAGTCTTTTGCTATTCAGTCCGTGTTCTCATTTGGAAGACATAAGCCAGCACAAGGCATTATTTATTTATTAAATTAACTGGAAAATGTGAGACTTTACTGGATTGAGCCTTTGTGAACTTATCTGGTTTGGCTAGTTGCCTATATTATACTAGTTGGTCCTAATGGCACACAAGAATGAGTCGATAAGAAATTAGAGTGCATCAAATCTATGTGATGGCTTCATGTAAGCATGACTGTTACTGTGGTGCTGACATAACATTCAGACCGGACGGACACATAAGCCAATAAACCCAGGGGCCAAAATTAATCTCATCTCATATATATATATATATATATATATATAAGGAATTAACAGAAATTGGATCTCGAAGTTGACAAATACAATAGATTCTATCATCGTCAGATTCAATACTTTACCTAGTCATCAAATTCCCAATTTACAATCTCATTGATTCAGAGGGAAGGGCTCGCTGTTGGCGGCCTTGTCCAGTCCAGACCAGAAGCCCATGGCCTGCTGTTGAATCGGCATCCCGTCCCGTCCTGTTAGCATCCGTACGTATAGGAGAATCCATCTAAATCACACACAATCCAAGCCAAGCTAGCTTCATGATTCGATTCTTCCAGTGACGAATGGAGATTTACTAATTGATCATAATGCGTTCTTGGACGGGTAGCACCGTAGCAGTAGCAGCGAGAGACAGGCTGGATGTTGTATCGACTTGGACTGGGCATTGTTTTAGGAGTCCGGCGGTTTTGGCAGGTGATCGATCAGTCTGAGTGCTGCTTCTGCTTTGCATTGCTTGCCACATTTGGAGCCTCGGTGATCGCGACAGCTCTGCGACGGCTACCAAGTTCTCTTTTATATGTGCTTGTGCTCATCCCGTCCATTGCTGCATACAGCCTGCTCAACGACCATGTGAGGTCTAGTTGGAACTTGGAAGTTCCCTCTTCCTTTGCTGCTATCTCAATGAACATAGACAGTTGATCACAGTCCAGTCTTGTTCAGTGACCGCTGTTGCCTTCTCGGCTTCACCCCTGCCACCAGTAATATATGTCGCTGCTCTTGGTCGCTTGGCACAGGCTGTGGTAGTGGTCTGCCAAAGACCAAGGAAAATATGAATCAACTACAATACAGTTTAAATGGCTCTTAAAGATCTAAGATTAAGAAACAAGAAGTAAACAAAAGTTACGGAAGGATGACCACCTCATTTCACAGACCATTGGCCCATAGGAAATTTCACAGAACATCTTCATTCTACAACAGAGATCCTCTTTTTCATTTGAATATACTCCAGGTCTGTGTCTGCTGTCAAATTTAAAAGCTGCAAACATTAAATAAATTACATTCGTTTTAACACTAGACAAGACTCTTGACAATTGTGCCCACTTCTACATCTCTCAGTTACAACTTCTAAGTTAGATCATATTAGCCTTCCAATAAACCATTTATTCTCTTGATGCCAGAGCCTAGTACGAACCATATACTAGACAACTCAACTCTTATTTAGACTTCACTGTTAACCATTCAACCGTGCCCCCTCCACTTTTATCCGGGCTTGGGACCGGCATTGGCAGTGTTAGGCAACCCCCCCCCCCCCCAATGGTAAACAAGAAAATAAATACAAACAGCTACCAAGCCCACAGACAGCTGAAGCAAATGCAGTCATCATCAGGATAATATGCCTGGAACCAAAGAAGCACAATAAGTGAAATTCATTTAACAGTACTCAAGTTTGCCATCAGGTGACTCGAAATGATCATCGCCACACCAAAGTATGGAAGCACTCATTAAAATCATCATTACAAAAATAAAACCAACAGCAATACAGCATATTGACATCACAGTTCTATTAGCAGAAGGTAAGAGCATTATATTACGCGAGACACTCCATGAGCACACTAGTTAAATGATGTCTATGCAGACACGACAAAAACCTTTCAAAAGTTACAAACTCTGCAGATAGAACAATTCTTTGTACATAAATAGAAATGCAGCAATCACAAATATACTTCAAAGCAACAAAACCATCCCTAATTGCTGACACCAACTTGATTCCTATCGTAAGTACAGTTAAGACCACCATTTTATCTTTAGCTTGGAAGGGAAAGAATTAACATATTATATAATAGTAGGAAGAACAAATTAGCATATACCCTTGCTGGTTTCTAAGCTCCATGGATTCATGCGGTTTCCAATCAGAGGGAACTTTTTATACAAGTTTAGAAATAATACCAAAAGCATATGAGCATGTAACATAGCAGGATGTTTTGGCTTCACTTAATTATCAAGACCATGCACACTAGATTATCAAAGCTTTCGAAGTAGCATCTATAGAAAAATAACCTAATTGCTATCTATCACAGTATATTATCTATTTTATTGCCTACCATAGATGAGTTCTAAAAATGAAATCATAGAAACAAAACTAATAGAAACCATGCACCCTAGATTATCACAAAATATTAGATTAACCTTGTTATTCAAGGTTAAAAGAATAAAATAAAGGACAGAACACAAATGTTGATTAGGCACATCGAGCTAAACACAAATGTTGATTAGGCACATCAAGCTAAACACCAGAAACCACAAGTAATACTACGTACCATAAGAGTTTAGTTAAGACTCCAAAACCCATGTGTCAACAAAATAAAATAAACATACATTGATTACTTTGTTGTATGTTTTCAAAATAAATCATATGTGATCAGTACTGTCAGAAAGGGAGACAGAGGATGCAACTACACATATATATGGCAAAATCTAGCCCTGGTTTAGCTTACTCAAAAAGAAGACTGAAGAGCCTAGTACCCGAACGAGGATGAAAATTGAACATGCAAGACAATAGAATTGAGAGAACACAGCAAAGGACATGCTTCTACAACGACTTCCACATTACCAGCAGCTCCTGAATGATTTACGATCATAACTAGTATGCAACATAAATTACAGCACAGTACAAAAGTCAAAGACTCATTGGCACTAGAATAAACATACAAAGAAATGGCGTAATAACATAAGCCAAGCAACGAAAGAAGAATTCTAACTCTAAGGAGAACAAAACCACGTTGCATTAAGTCAAGGATGCACTGAAATAATAAAACACAAGCTCCACACCATGTAGATATTGAAATATAAGGCTTCATATTACGTTCAACGAACACAAAGAATATGGAGCTAGGTCTCTACAGCATGTAGATGCAGAAAAAGAGGGACCACGTTAATTCAGTTAAATGAACAGAAAGACAAGGGAACTAGGTCTCTACAGCATGTAGATACAGAAAAAACAGGGACCACATAACTTCAGTTCAATGAACAGAAAGATTGAACTATATCAGCATGACAGGCTGAGAACTAAAGCAAACTTCAACTGTGAAGCTGTACCAACATAACATGTTCAATAAACATTGTGCGCGCTTGTTAGAGACAAGGCTTGAAAACTATGACCTTTATGGGCTAGAGAGTAACTAAAAAATAGTACACATTCAGACGGTATTAAAACCAAAAGTCTGCAGATGACATTGACAGCAAAAACAGTGGGAGAATGTACAAACACATTTAAAATTTAATCTGTTGCAGACTAGAATCTGAAATAAAACTGCACCAGTCTATAAGAAAGAAGCAGCAAGTTTATGCGGTACCAAAATAAACCTAGTATTCGCATGGATTCAAGATTACGACATCCAAGCGATTAGAATGAGAAAAAACAATATATATGCAGTTACTGCTATAATTCGATTGATCCATAGAACACGTCACAAGTAAATTGTAATAAGCAGGATCATGCCAATTTCTATCCATATCATATAATAATTACAGCTCCAGGCAGATATTTTCAACACTTTAATTACTGTAGCTGCACTTAATAAAGAACACAATAAAGATCATGATATCCCAAATTAGGATTAACAAGCATAGGAGTCCAGAAAAACTTGATGTCTACTTTGATGCAGAACCAAGGAAGCTTAGTTGCACTTCTGTTTTTAATCTAATCTTTTACCTGACTAATTTTATATCCAGTCATATAAGTTGCAATAATGTTTCTGCACAACATCCATATTAACTAAATAATGCTTCTACACAACATCCATATTAACTAAAGCTCCTGAATGCTTACAATCAGAACTAGCTGGCCACATAAATTACAGGACCCTACAGAAGTTAAAGACTCATTTGACATCAGAATGAACATACCCATTTGACATCGGAATGAACATACCAGGAGAAGATAGATAACATAAGCCAAACCATGGGGGTCCATGAAGCCAAAGTTGAAATCCAAATTAGCTTGCAGTTTAGGAGGTCCAAATCAAAGCTCGTGCAGAAGTAAATAACAAATTGGCATCGAAGAATGATTGAACTCCACACACTTGAGCAAACATCCACCTTATGACAAGAACTTGCCCCCAATAAAAGAACATGTTAGAAGCGAAAAAAACATCATCATCCAATAACTTGTCAGGTATCA